AAAAGTATTTAGATCTTTAATCCATTTGGATTTTAATTTAGTGCATGGCGAAAGATAAGGGTCTAAATCTTGGAAACAGACTATTTGCCCATCCGTTGGAAACTGGATAAAGAAGTTGTGGTTTTTCTATAAAATGGAATATTACTCAGCCATAAAGAGCGAGAGAATAGATTCATTCATAGGAAAATGGATACATATTGAAGATATACTCCTAAGTGAAATAAATAAGTCCCACATGTGTAAATACCAAATAGTTTCCCTGGTGTGAATATTCTGCAACAATGCATAAGATTCTAATAAGATTACTGACATTTAGAAATTTGAAGAAAGGAGCTAAAGGTGTAGGGAAGGTGTGATGCGTAGGGGAAGAACAAAAAGGGAAAAGAAAAAGATGTGAGAGAATGAAAAGATGAAAATAAAGTGTTTGTAGATGGGGAGGGGAGGAGGGGTGAAGGGAGGGCAGAGGTAAGGGGAAAAAATGAGAATCAAGACTTGCCATATAAAGGTACATGATCCCAACAATGAATGTAACTGTACTGTATCCCTAAAATGTACCAATAAACTCAATAAAATTAAAAAAAAATTCTTTCTTTTGTCCCTTGACTACAAAGTTAAGTTTATTGTTGTTTCTGAAAATATAAATTAGCAAGAACAATAAAAACCATCCATAAGCCTACTACCATGTTGTAACCATTTTATACACTATCCTTCTGGTCTCCCTTCTTTCCTACCTTAAGAAGGTTTGTTATCCTTCCTGTTTATAGGGCCTTCTCCCATTTCTGCTTAGTAAGTTTTGAATATGTGAGTTACATAATTCCTTAAGAAAAGCTCTAGAATTAGTTTTAGATCCCAAAGCATATGTACGTTTTTACAGTTGTGTACATTTTATCAAACTGATGTATAAAATGATTATATGAATATGCCTTCTGACTAGCAGTGTATAGGAGAACCTGTTTTCTAGTATTGTTGCCAATATTGACTGTTATAACCTTATATTTTTGTCAAATCATTAGATGAGTGAGGTAACCTTATTTACATTTGCATTCTTTGATTTCCTATGTGGTTGAATTTGTTTTTCTTTTTTCTTTTTCTTTTTTTTTTGTGGCAAGGGAATTGGGGAAGTGTAAAGCTTGTTATTTCAATGCTCGTATGTTACCACATTCTTGCTGGCTTGAACCCCAGGTGGTACATGCATGACTGTCCCATCAGGTGGCTTGAACACTGGTGATTAACTGTTTAACATTAGACAATAGAATTCAAATCAGAGCTGTCCAGCAGCATGGCATATAAATTACAGCCCTGTTGCGAACATGTAACGTTAACTTCACATGGTTAAATATTGGATTTCTTTTCTGCTTTTTGTCATTTGCTTATTCTTTAGACTTTGTGATGTTTTTGTGTTATGGAGGTCTGTGTGTCCCTTTTTTTTTTCATTTCCTTTATATTTTAAGTGTGTGTATGTATTGAGTATAAAGATGTCTTCTCTTTTTAGAGATATAGTCATGGATATATTTTCCCACTTAGTTCTGTCTCTCAAAAATTTTGTCTGCAGCTCAGTGGTGAAGTGGTTGCCTATTATTTATTATGCACAGTGCCCTGGGTTTTGATCTTGAGCACCATGCATGCACAAATGTGCATATACAAACAACTTTCTACATCAATATGTAAGGTTTTGTGGTGTTATACCAAGGAACCACTGATTATATTCTTGCATATGAATTTATTTTTATCTAATCTTAATATTGTATCTGTTTCTTTTTATTCATACACTTCTAAGTAGCATGAACCTTTTATTGAAATCTTGTTAAGAGCACAGTGACATTTAAATGTATCCCGTGTTGCATATCTCTTATTCCCCTATTTCCAGTTTTGGTTTGCACTTTTGATATTGTCTGACTTCTCTGTTATATTAGGAATAAGTGATGCCTACATTATTAAACAACTATTTGTTTGTTGTTTTTAACATGCCTCAGGATTTTGAAGATAAAGTAAGTAATGACACAACCCCCAAAGTGCAAATGGATTCACCTAAACTAAGCAGAGGATTGAGTGAATACACACTGAAATGAGCTAAGCAGCACTTGATCACTTTGCAGAATTATGTGGCATGTGCACAGGAGTGGAATACCAAAATTTATTTGCTTATTACAAGAAGTAATCAGATATGTATTTACCTTTTGTTTAACAAAAAATATGTTACATTTTTTTACTAACGAGATGATGCAAGGATGTCCCTCCTATTAGGAACGAAGATCAATTAAACATAATTCAGAATGCCAATAACAGTTTTAAGAAATGTTTAGTTTTACTAATCTTGAAAAACATTCTTAGTCATTTACATTCTTTTTCCAAAAATCAAATATATCACTGCTTTTCTTGTAAAATAAGATCTTATAATTTAGAAGTAGCATAACTGAAAGTGTTAAAATTACTTTTACTTATTGTTATTTTAAATTATTCAAATAATTATAAAATTTTGTGCCACCTCCCACTATTATTTCTTCTTAGATGGGGAATAGAATTACCTGTATATACATTTCTACAGGTAATTTAAGGTTCTCAAACTAAGGCTTGTGTACAAAATACTACATAAGCATTTTTTTGTTCAAGAAGGTTAGTGACCATATATCTTATTCTCAGAATGAAATAAAAGTTTGGTTGTACAAAATATTAATCCTTGAAATTATTCTTCAAAAGAGAAGTTAAATGAAACAATCTGTTATGTACTGTATTCTAAAATTTCCAAGCACATTTGGACAAAGTAGGCCACAGCTGTTACACTTTTTTTAAGTACAATGCAGACTCATTCTTTACTTTTAAATACAGCAATCATCATCATATTAATGTTTTTCTATGGCAAAGACCTAATAGATTGCAAAAATCATCAGCTTTGTATACTTCTAATATAATTTATAGTTGACTTTTACTTTGCTGTTGCTGCTTTTTCTTGATATAGTATATCCTCATTTCTTTTTTTAGGCTAAGCAGCTGGAAGAGAAAGACCGAGTGATAAAAAAGCAGGATGCATTCTACAAAGAGCAGCTGGCTAGACTGGAGGAGAGGGTATGGCTGTTTCTTCTCATTGATTCTCTTCTCTTACTACATTTGCAGCTTTCCCATATATTTATCTAAAAATCAATAAATTAGAACTGTAACTGTTTTTCGTAGTTAAAAAGAATGGTCAGGAAACAAGGAAGCTGTCCAATAGGTCACTGTCCTGGGAATGTTTATTTTTGTTATGGTTGTGTGACTGGTTTATTGATACATTTTACTATTTGAGAACTCACCCACATGTTTACATACGTGTATACCTACATGCATGCATGCATACAATGTGTAACTGACATTGCCTCTAGGTCAGACAGTAGAGTGCTACTCTTAACTCCTCCAAACACAGACTCAACTTGAATACATTCTTAGAAATGGTACTGTATTAGAGGATATATTACTGTTGTGAAAACTTCACTGCATTTATGACTAACAAGTGAATGTCTCCTTCAGAAGTGGTGATAAGAACCATATAGTGGGACTTAAGGCTTAGGGGAAGAGAAGATAGTGGGCTTAGACATCATAGACCTAGAATTAAAGACATAATGAAGGAATTCAGATAGACATGAAAGAAGACTGTGTTTCAGAATGGAGTTTGAACACCACTTCAATACCCCTGTTAATGGAGTAGATTTGTTGACTAGATTAACTTTATGCATAGACCATAAGCTTACTGAGTGACCTCTTTTTTCCTTCAGTTTGAGACCTCCAAAGTCTGATTGGTTTAGAATATATTTGATAAGTAGAAAATCATGACAAATACACTATTAAACCTTGCCCAGTGCAAGTATTTATAAGTTGAATGTGTTGGCCTATCTCCCTATGTCAGTAGACCGCATGCATCTTAAATAGGAACCATTTTCTCATTCACTCAGCTGAGGTCTACTTATGCATCTAATTTATGCCAGGGTGTGGTCTAGTAACAGTGATATCCTAGTAAGGAAAGTGAACTAATCATCTACTCTCATTAAACTTAAGTTTATATAAATATCAGTTATATATGTGGAATGGCAGGATTGGTTATGTGGAGAGCAATACATTAGCAAGGAAAAGGTAATCCCATGTCCTGGGTGTAGGCATGAGGTTGAATGGAGAAGGAAGGCATACCTAATGAGATGATATGTGAGAAGAGGCTTATATGATAGGGAGGCAAGTCATTGTCAAAGCCCTGAGATGGGAGCATGCTAGGAGTGTTTAGGAAGGCCAGAGGGTTTGTAAAAGAAACAGTCTGGAAGCTGTGTTAGGCAAGAGTTGAAGCAGGAGGGAATTGTTTATAAGGTTAGTTCAGAAACAGGTTGGTGATGACTTGGGCCAGGGTGCTAGCAATGAAGATAATGACATGTGGTTGGATATTTTAAAGATAGAAGCAAGCAGTTTTGCTTGATGATTTTGAAACTGAGTAAAAGAAAGACTCAAAACTACTCTTGATATATGGCTTTTATAAATAGAAGGACATATTTTCTGTTGAGGAAGATTACCGAGATACAGATTAGGGTATGGCTGGTTGAGGCCTTTCTTTATATATTTAAATGTAGATATTGAATAGCCATAAAGTAGAACGTTGTAGAACAGAAGTCAGCAAATTTTCTGTAAAGGGCCAGGTAGTAAATATTTCAGGTTTTGTAGTTCTCATGTTCTCTGTCGTGTGACTTCGTACATACTGAAATTTTTTTTTGTGTGTGGTACCGGGGATCGAACTCAGGTCCTTGCGCTTGCGAGGCAGGCCACCGAACCACTGAGGTAAATCTCTGGCCCGTACATACTGAAATTTTAATTTTACATAATTTGTACATCACAGAAATTTTTAAAAATATTTTTTTCGTTTATTCATATATAAAAACAGGTGTTGGTCTTGATCTGACCCACAAGTAATAGTCTGTAGATGTCTCATTTAGACCAAAGGCTGGCTTACATTAAAATTCCTAAAGTGGTATGTACCTGCTGTCTTATCTGGGACCAACTTATTTCATCTCTTGGTTTTTTTAGCTGTAGGATGAAGATATAATGGTACTTACCCCACTAACTTGTTAAAATGAGCTAGTACTCATAAATCATCTTTAATAGTGACCATGAATCTACTCATTTTGTAGTATCTGTAAGTTTACTTGTGTACTTCCACAGTCCTGAGATGATTTACCTAGCACCCACTTTGTTCCCACCTGGTGATAGTTTTCTTTGCTATCAAGTTTTACTGTTAGGTACCTTATGAATTCACCGCTGATAACACTGTAGAGTATGAGAAAAGGCATTTCTCATGAATCTATCAATTTCAGTGAGACAATTCAGTAATTTTTACAAAGGACTAAGAGGATATGTTTGTGACAGATTAAGCTCATTTGCTCACCAAGTAAAGAATTGTTTTTGGCATAAAATAGAAAAGTAGTAGAAGATCCAATATATACAGTATAGTGAGACCTAGTCATTGTGATTAGTGTATTTTTATGTAAGATTTTTTTTTTCCACTTTTAAAGATTAGGCTTAAAAGTGGTAACTTGTAAATTTAAACTGAAAACTGAGAAATACCAGTGAGCTTATAATCCTCAGTTGGAATGATCATGCTATGATTAGTTAACCCCATATTTAGTAATATGGTAGAAAAAGTGTTAGACTAAGAGTCCCAGTTTTGACACTTAATCTGTTGATATCTGGAGTTCTTCATCTGTAAAATGTGAATAATACTCTGTTCCCTACTTTTGTGGGTTTTAAGTTGACGACATAAAATGTTTATAAAAGCTTCTTGAAAACTGCCAAGGATTTAACAAATATGAGTTGTTGCCATGATCAAATGGCAACTTCCTTGTGTACAAAATCTTAATAATCATAAAATTACTCTAATGTTATTGAGCTTCCTCATGTCTTCTATCCATTTCTACAAAATCTTGTATTTATTTATCTCTTATTGGTTTTCCTATAGTACCTAAGCTGACTTTTTTCCCATTGAATATCATGTAGGGATATTTTAGATAATTAATTTTCTAACTGTGCTGCATCTTCTAGACATACTCCAAAAGAATATAAAGAATTTTTTGTCTTATATTTGTATGACATTAAAGGTATAATGCTTAGCCATTTTTATGAGGATTTCTGGACATACTTTGTGTTAGAGTGATGGATCTGATAGTACAGTGTATGGTGTAAGAGGGAAAAATAGTATTAACTTGCAGGGTTATCCACTTACTATGAAAATCAAGTTGCTGTGGTTTAAGCTAAAAGTAGATATAGACTCTCAAATGAAATGCTAAAGGCTTCAAGTCCATATCAGTGACATATCATTGATGGAGAAAGGGAGACATCAGCAAGTCTTACATGGAATCATTCTAAGGGTGATCACTGAGATAATCTTACTTCCTGCCCATCGACAAGATCAACAAACACATTACTCATGTACTTTGTTACTTTTTGATGGCTTAATTATATTACTTCTACTATCCATCTCCATTGGTTTGATGCAAATTTCTTTTGCAAGTATGAATTAAATTTTGCTAAGCATAAAAAGGATACTCAGTTCTGTAATACATATTGGTTTTCTTCTTGGATCTATTTCAGTAAACCATCAATTAGGTAATTTTCGTGTATCAACACAGCTTTCTTCTTTGGTTATTATATTGGCTGAGATCGTTTTCTCTTGTGACTAATTTCTAAGGTGTAATAAGTATAATTTAACTAGATACCATTTTTATCTACTTAGAATTGGTATTCTAAACTAGTAACTTGTTACTGGAAGGTCAAAGTCATTTGAAAAGTTTTGCAAATTCTTATTTCCTAGTTAGTCATATGTTGCTAACTTCTCAAACAGCATTGCCCCATACATGAAAGTAAACTCTTTTTATTTTTACCTTTAAAAACATTAGAAGTGTCACACTTAGGTGTGTGGCATGAAACAACTTGGAGAGTTTTAATTTTTACTTGTTAGTGTAAGAGATCTGAAGAACACTGATTTTTGGTCAGCTATTTGGTAAAACAAAGCCAAGAGCAACCTTCAAAGAGAAGACTGAAAGGTTTTCTACAAGTTCCTCAGGGAATTCTGAGGTGTTTTTCCCCCCAACTTCATTAAAGTATACTTGAGAAATAAGCCCATAATACTTTATAACTCTTTATGATGGCATGTTATATTTACAATAACTGTGGTTAGCTACGTGTGTTTTTGTCTTTTAAAATCCTTGAGAGCACAGTTCATTTTCTTATTTCTGTATTTTCTGCAGTTCATACATAATACCATAGGAATACAGTGAATGAATCTTAGATTTACTAAGCTATTACCATAAAGTTACATCTACACATATGTAGTTTTAAAATATATCCAACATGTTTATTTTTTATTAGTTTAAGTTTTTATGTGAAGATCAAGTTTAACTTTGAGTACTTTGATAATGTAGAATCAGTTATTTCAGTAGCTAATAGTGATGTTTATTGGGCATTTACAGTGTATTAGACATTTTGCATGGTAAATTGTGTTTTTCTCACAATCTCGTGAGGCTGTCTCATTCTGTTGTTTAGGTGAAGATCCCAAGACTTAAGTAACTGGCCCAAAAATATGTAGCCAAAATGTGATAGAATAGGATTTGAGACAACTTTATCTCCTAACCTTTCAACTCTCAGTACTGTCTTTAATATGTATCAGTTTTTAGTTCTGTACTTAAGTCCTGTTGATAGTAGTTTTCTCTGAATGGAAAGTTAGTCACTGGCTTCTAATACAATTTTTTAGAATGTTATACCTAAGTGATATAACTTGATTATTATTACCTAATAAGCTGAAAGTGTTAAGCATTAAAAAATACAGTTTCCCCCTCAAGATTTGATACTTCCCAGAAAAGTGATCAAATGAGAATAAATAAGGTCTTATTTCTTAGCAACTACAACTTGGTACTCCTGAAAGTCATTTTAATATCTAGTTGTGCTTTTTTTTACCACTTTGAAGTAAGAAATTGAGTAAGTCATTTGAGTACTTCAAAAGTTTTTTGAAATGTTCATTCATTCATTAATACTTTTATGTTTCTATAAGATAGTCATCTTAT